AAGACTGGAGGAATGATGCTGAAAATTCAGCTTTGCATCACATGAGTAAATTTTAAAATATATTTAAATGAACTTATTTGAAAGTTTCGATCCAACCCCAATTCAACACACCTGAACCAGCTAATCACAGTCTTACTAGGCATACTATACACTTAAAAATAAAGGTGCTTCACGATGCCATAGAAGAACCTTTTTGTCTAAATGGTTCCATAAAGAACCTTTAACATCTGAAGAACCTTTCTGTTTCACAAAAGGTTCTTTGTGGCGAAAGAAGGTTCTTCAGATTATAAAAATGCAAGAAAGAGATGGTTCTTTAAAGAACCTTTGACTGAATGGTTCTTTGTGGAACCAAAAATGGTTCTTCTATGGCATCGCTTGAAGAACCTTTTGAAGCACCTTTATTTTTAAGAGTGTATACACTTCCAGGTCTATCTATATGTATCACAGCCTTTTCAGCAATCATTATAGCATCAAACGTCTAATGGCATGCTGCTCATCACATTAAAGAAATGGCATAAATGGCTCACTTTAAAGTATTTTAGAAGATGAATGAACAGTGAGACGTTTTATGTTTACTGAGGCGGGCTGATGTCAACTTTTGGCCTGAGAACTGAAAACCCAAACACCCACAGGACAGACTCTGCCCAAAGTCATTTCTTATTGGTCTGTTGCTATGACCTTCATTGTAGACTGATGTCATGTTGCTATTTACAGTCTTTGGCTCTTCATTACACGTTATAATCGATGTAATAAATACAGGCAGTGTGAGCAAACCTCTGCCAGCAGGAGCAGCTGCATGATAGAGCGCTGCCGTCATCTGCTGGTTAGAAAGCAAACCTGACCAAATTAAATAACACCTCTAGTAAAAATAATACACTTTAGTATTTTATAAAATGTTGCTTATTGTTTCTGTATCGTGCGTATGTGTGTTCGGGCACGTTGTACAGAGGAAAAATAAATTAAAATAAAATAATATCTGGTGGTTAGAAAGCAAACCTGACAAAATAAAATAAAACACTTTAGTATTTTATATAATGATGTTTATTGTTTCTGTATCCTGCGTGTGTGTGTGGGTTCGGGTACACGGTACAGATGAAAAAAAAAATACAAATATTTTAAAATAGTCTGTTTGTGTCCTATTTTGGAATACTTCATACTAAATTGTGGACATACAATTAAATGCATCTCAAAGTGAATTTGAGTATTTTAGTTACAGTTTAAAGTGATTTCTCAAATCTTTCTCACTAAAAATTAGATGCTAAATGTAATTATTTGTATATTTTTTTGATATCTCACTGCAGTACAGATAAAACATAATATATAATAAAACGTTTATATCCTGTGTTTGGATACTTCAAAAACATAAAATAAATGCAATTAAATACAGCGACATTTTGCATTTTAATTACATTTAGTTCGAAGTGATTTCTCAACAATCAATCAAATCAGATGCTAAAGTAAGTTATTGTATTGGTATTTAATTCCATTGTTTTAGATAACCGCAACTTGAACAGATATGAACAGGAATAAACGGAGAGGTGCTCCCGCACGCATGCGCGCTCTTCCGGCCCTGTCCGCTTCAGCACCGCGTAACGGGTCACGTGACTCAGTCTCCGCATCATTATCATCAGCAGCAGCAGCAGCAGCAGCAGCAGCAGGGATGGCCGCGAGCTCCGCGTTCAGCGACGAGAAAGGAGGCTCCGCCAGCGAGCCCGAGTACGGCCACGACCCGGCCAGCGGCGGCATCTTCTCCTCCGACTACAAGAGGTGAGACGCGCCGAGTCTGTGCGCTCGGTGAACCCTCGCAACCCGGGGGCGGCCCACCGGAGCCTTTACCATACAGACAATCTCAGATGGGGCGAGGTGCGCATGCGCGGATGAACGAATGAATTCCGTGGAAAAACAAAGACACGATACACATTGAGGTGAACTGGCGAGAATGGAGAGTGTACGTGTGTGTTATTCGGGTGTTTGTGTTTCAGCACCGGCCGGTGGACAGCGCTCAGGCCCCATACGATGACTTCTGTGCAGTTTTACACCTCACTTTGACTGTTATAGTCGTTTATTTGGTGAAATGTTTGGTTTGTGTAGTTAATATGTGTATGGCAGTGATTTCTCGTTGGTTTTAAACTGTAATCAGTATCTCTCGCTCTCCTGTAGTCTTAGCGTCGCTAGCATCATGCAGAATACCATCAGTGTTGGGGTAGTAACGCATTACAAGTAACGCAAGTTACGTAATCAGATTACTTTTTCAAGTAACTAGTAAAGTAACGCATTACTTTTTAATTTACAAGAGAATATCTGAGTTACTTTTTCAAATAAGTAACGCAAGTTAATTTGTTTTCCAATGTATTGATTGACAGCTCTCCTGCCCCCATGATGAGAGAAATCAGATGTTACTGTAGTTCTAAAATAAATATGAATATGCATTAATTCATCTCACTCACACAAAACAGCTTGTGAAGTCATATGATGACTCTTTCTTTCTGCTCCAGTTTTTAGTGTAGTTTCAGCCCTGGTAAAGAGTGGGGAAACCAAAGGAGCGCGTTTCCTTAAAGGGGTCATATGATGCTGCTAAAAAGAACATTATTTTGTGTATTTGTAATAACCTTAAGATAACCTATATACAGAACGTTTTCTAGATGCCATTTTTACCTTTCTAATTATCATTAGCTAACCTTCCCCAGAACCTTCTGGGAAGCAAAAAACTGGGATAAGCTGCGAGTTGTTTTTGTCCATGTTTCACATAGTTATGCTTTACTCTGGGTTTTTAATTAACACTGTTTATCTTTGGCACCACAACTGAAACAACAACAACAACAACAAAAATATATATATATACAGTAGTCAACATTTGAAGGGGATCAAAACCTTTCATCAAAGTTGTCCTAAAACCAAAACAATACCCGTTCTTGTCTTAGGACAACTTTGATGAACTTTTTTGATCCACTTCAAATGTTGACTACTGTGTATATATATATATATATATATATATATATATATAGCAATACATTTAAGCTAAATAGCAATATTTAAAACAACAACAACAACAAAACTACAACGAAATGACAAAAAGAAAAGAAAGAACTGACAAAAGCACATCAAAAATATTCAAACTTAAACTAAAATAAAAAACTGAAAATATAAAAAATAAAAGCTTATTTAACATATCAATACTATATATATAAATAATACTATATATATATACACTAAAAACCAAAATCAGATAATGCAGTTGGTTTTGTCCATGTTTCACACTTTACTCTGGGATTTTAATTCACACTCTTTAACTTTGGCACCACAATTGGAAGCACAAAATTACAAATGTGAAAAATATTTTAGTATAGCAATCAAACTGAATTAAAATATTTATAATAATAATAATAATAATGACAAAAAACACATAACAAAATTACTAAAAATAAAATGAAAATGAAAACTGTAAATATAAAAATAAAAGCTAATTCAAAATATAAAAAAATACTACAGTAGTAAATAATACTAAAATTAGTCAAATAATTAGTAAAGTAAATAGTGACGTTTTTTTCCCCTTCTTTTTCTGGGAACCAAAACTTGTGAAAATGTTGCCTTAAAGGATTTTACATCTTTACATTGAAGCTGGCATCTACATCTTCCTCTTCCTCTTCCTCTTCCTCCACCTCTATTCTACCTCTGTCTCTTGTAAAGATGTGACGATTCTGAAGATTGGATCTTTAACTGAGATTGATAATCAATGTTGGCAGATTCTCTTTCTCTGTCTGTGGCTATATTTAGAGGCAGGTGCTTCAGATCAGTCTGGTGTGTGGAGAATATCAATGCTCTGGTCTGTTTCTGCTGAGGTCGTGTGACGTGCTCATCCTGTAGCTGATGGCTTCAGTGTTTATTTGCTAATATTATTTACTTGAAATGTATATTTGATCATTTATCTGTTGTGTTTTTTGATGCTTGTCGAATCCAGTGTTGTTATAGTTTACTAAGACTGAGATGAAATTTATAAATAATTGTTTTTGGTAATTGAAATAAAGCTGTTGAAAAACTTAAAATATGTAAACACATTAAAAATGTCGCCTTGGCAGCTAACCGAAATAAATAAATGGAAGTACTAAAACTAAAACAGAAAACGTAAATAAAAAAAAAAGAATGATAAATTAAATTAAAAATAAACTAAATATAAATGACAAAAGCACATCACAAAATGACTAAATGTTAATAAATAAATGCTATAATAGTATATAAATGATACTGAAATAAAACTGCTTGGATAAATCTGGCCTTTCACTGGGCATCATTTAGTTCACGGCATTTCTCTCTCAGACAGCAGAGGGAACCAGACGCACATTTATTCACATCATTGCTTTTGTCAGGGTGTCACTTAAATTCATTTGAGTATAAAGACGATTCACACACCCCATGTCAACAAACCTGACTTTACTGCTGCTTTACTTCTTGATGATGCTCATAATAGTGTGTTTGAATTGAAATTCGAAGTATATATCTATTCTTTTTTCATATTATTTAATGGTGATGGAAACACTGATATACCATGTGAACTGATATGGTCGCTGAGATTTTGTCAAGTAAGACATGTTCCTGGATCAACATTACTTTCGAGAATACAGACTTAACCCAATCCCTACCCCTTAACCTAACCTTACCCATAATTGATTCCTGAAATCAGAGGGAAATGATAGCTGATTAACAAGGGTGTAGAAGCACCTAATCCTGATTGTAAGCCTAAAACTGACATGTCCTGAAAAGTTATCTCTCAGTTCTGATTGGTTGATTGGAATGATGTTCCAGGATCAACAAGGGTGTTGATCCAGGAACATGTTGTACTTGGTCAAATCACACTCACCGAACTGATATACAGCGAGCTTCTGTGGTGGTGGGTTATTTGTGTACAATAGCTACACTACTGTTCAGAGCTTTCTAATGCTCACCAAGGCTGCATTTATTTGATCAAAACTACAGTAAAAAGAGTAATATTGTGAAATGTTAATGCAATTTAAAATAGCTGTTTTATCTTTTAATATATTTTAAAATGTCATTTATTCCTGTGATGCAAAGCTGAATTTTCAGCATCATTCCTCCAGTCGTCAGTGTCACATGATCCTTCAGAAATCATTATAATATGCTGAGTTGCTGCTCAAGAAACATTTCGTAATATTATCAATGTTGAAAACAGTTGTGCTGCTTCATATTTTTTGAGGAAACAGTGATACTTTTTTTTAGGATGAATAAAAAAAAAATAACACAGAGCCCAAGCTTTATTTAGTTTATAGTTTATTCATCAGTCCACGTTATTATAAAAAAAATTGTTTGTCAGAATAACTTCTGAAGCAACTTTCCTGGTCTTGTACCAATAATAATAATCATAATCATAATAATAATAACCAATAATATAATGCGTTTCTTGCTGTTGTTATTGTGAATGAGGCATAAATGTGACAGAGGCTGACATAAATATTTTTTCTCTTTGCATAATCATCACTTTGAATTTCTGCTCTGCTGTCACAGAGCTCTGACACTGTTGCACTGCAGGATGTGTGTGTGTGTGTGTGTGTGTGTGTATGTGTATGTATATGTGTGTGTGTGTGTGTGTATGTGTATGTATATGTGTGTGTGTGTGTGTGTATGTGTATGTATATGTGTGTGTGTGTGTGTGTATGTGTATGTATATGTGTGTGTGTGTGTGTGTATGTGTATGTATATGTGTGTGTGTGTGTGTGTATGTGTATGTATATGTGTGTGTGTGTGTGTGTATGTGTATGTATATGTGTGTGTGTGTGTGTGTATGTGTATGTATATGTGTGTGTGTGTGTGTGTATGTGTATGTATATGTGTGTGTGTGTGTGTGTATGTGTATGTATATGTGTGTGTGTGTGTGTGTATGTGTATGTATATGTGTGTGTGTGTGTGTGTGAGAGTGAGTGTGTGTGTGAATGTAAACCTGTGTGTGTGTGTGTGTGTGTGAGAGTAATGGCAGTTCCACTGGTTCCATGGTAAACATGAAGACGAGTGATTCTCACATGCTGTTGCCTTGGTAACCTGCCCCTCTGATCTGCTACTGTACAGCTCTCCATCTCTGCTCCGTTAACAGCTAAATAAACAGAGAAGCAGAAATGCTAATCTACAGAGAATCACCCTCAAGTATTCATGAGATTGCTGGAGATCAGACAGACAGACTCTGTATGGGAGTTTAGAGAGATTTGGGGGTTTCTGACGCAGGAGAATGTCTCTTTAGAGGTCAGTGGCTTTTAGCACTGCAGTGTGAATTCTGCATCTGTCTGTGCATTTGGCTTTTCCCTTCTCCATGTTATTCTGGGCTCAGAAACGCCACGTCACATGCTGACAAGAAGAATGCGACTCCTTCAAATGAATCAAACTGTAGTGAACAAAATGACTGTGTCAAACATAAAATATCAGACTGATTAAAAGTGTAACCAAACTGCATCTGACAAAATAACAGTAAATTGAGTCATAATGATTCAAATGAAACAAACTGTATCAGACAGAATAAAATGGAATCATTTTAATCAGACTAAATTTGACTGGAATGGAACTGAATCAGAAGGATTCAAATGAATCAAACTGTACTGGAAAGAATGAACGTGAATCAAACTGAATTGTACTGATTAATTTGAATAAAAATGTCAAACAGAATGAAACTGAAGCACTGAATTGAAAACTGAATTGAACAGGATGAAACTGAATCAAACTAAATCAGACTGATTGAAATTTAATCAAATTGTGTTGGACAGAATGAC